TGATATAAATTAATATTTACTATTATTTATGCTTATTTTTCAAAATACATGAATAATACACTATATACATTGTATAATACATGTATAATACATGACGGAAAAAATATCATGTATTATATCCACCCTAGATTTGATATGATTTGTAATACAATTTGGTACTAAATATGGAGAAAGTGTTTGATAAGCGACTGAAATGTGAGAAAAGTGTGTGAATTGATGTTTTTGCAGTGAATTTCACGCATTAGTCAATACAAGAGATAAAAACTATTGTATTGACACACATAACGTACTATTAATGGTAGGCATATAAAAGTGTTTAGCGGTAATTAACTTTCGCAATGAATTATGTAATTGAATATAATATGAGTATATTGAATTTCAATGGACTAAAATCAAGTACCAAGGCCAAAGTTGCCAACACGTACTCCAAGAATAATTTACTGCAATTACAAGATTGAGATAAAAGTTTTTTTATTAGTTTTAATAAGTTTTCAAAAATATAATGTTTTGTTATATACAGGTATATTATTTTAGATTTAATAAAACAATTCATAAATAAATAATCCAGTTAACAAGTTTATAAATAAGATTTTTAAATTATTAACTGTAGTGACCCGAAGGGGGAGGGCAGAAAAATAAAGCCCAAAAACCCACCGGGTTTATAGCACCAGGATATCAGAGATTTTTATTGTAATTTATTTCATTATTAATACAAAATAAAGTGACAATAAATTTAATACAAAAAAAATTGTTGTCAACTCTTATATACACAATGAATGGGTGATCACTGGTTGGCCACCATTTTCAAGACATTAAGACATTCAGACGAATCACTTGAAGAAGTGCTTGAGTTCTCACGTCTGGACTCAACTTCTTTCCAACAGAACCTGTTTATCGAGAAATGAGTCGAAACTGTAATAAAAGTCAAACAATTAGTTCATTAAATAGCGATATGAGTGGTGATGGAGTGGACAGACATGTGGTCGTCCTCTTGCATAGCCTTCTGCTTATGTATCGTCCGTTTGGATCGTCTCCTCGACGACGACGAAGACGTTTCCAATGAACTGCTGACCGGTTTTGACAACGGATTGTCAAAACTTTGGCCAAAAAACACGTAAAAAGTTATTAATTAATAATTATTATTACAATTAAACATTATTTGAGGGACTCTTAGGGAATGGTAGGACACGGGGGACACACCTATTGTTAGCCTTATGTAAGGCGGTGTCGGATATGGAAGCGATGGCCTGTTTCGGGTGAAGTTGTGCTGAATTGAGGTCATTATAATCGGGGTAATCGGCGCCGGCGTTGAATATATCACAGACAGACGGCTCATAACACAGACTCTGACTGGAGTTGTGTTTCTTCTTAGGCCTGATTTGCGAGATAATAGTCGTCTCGTCGTCATTGGCTGAGGACAGGAACGACTCCGTTGACGAGGAACGGGATGACGAGTGGAACCAACTATTCGCTGACCGGGCGGACAGCCTATTGTCGCTACTGATGGGACAGCTGTTCACCGATAGGCTGCTCTCGAGCTGCGGTCTCGACCGTGACTTAAGTCGCCTTTTGTGCAGTTTTTTCACTTTTGTCGTCAAATACGTGGACTTTTTGGCCGACTTTTGGCCGCTCGTCGTCTGCTTTAGGCTCCGATTCTCTTCGTATTCCGAAGAGGAGGTACTGTTCGGTGATATCATGACCGCTGGCCACGAGGGGTTGCGCCTGATTTTGGGCGCCCGTAGGCTATGGCCAGTCCCCGACCTCCGACTCGTCGTCTCTGTCGTGAAGTCTTCGAGCGAGTGAGTCGGCGATGAGATTAGCTTTTTTCTCAGTTTCTTAGCGCCGGTGCCGGACTCCCGGAGCTCGTGTCGGCTCCCAGTCCTCCCGAATGAGGGGTCGGGCCGGGAGTGCATCTCAAACGACATATAACTGCTGCTCTTCGGCACGTTTCTCAGCGATTGTTTCGATTCCTTCGGAAAGAGTTGCAAAAGAGGAGATAATTTCAGATTTGATACCACAATAAGACACTCATTGTTGGACACAAACCCGTTTTATGAAATCGAGTTCGCATTCAATGCCCTCGTCCTCGACGAGCGACGAGACATAACTGTCCACTCTTTCGTAGGACTCGGCCGGAGATATCTTGATCTCCGGACACACGACCACTGGGTTGTGGTGAGAGGTGGGGGTCTTCGGGCGGTGTCGCCGGTCATCCTTCGCCGGGAACGTGAAGACCGGAATCGAT